CAAGCGGCTCCTTGCTCCGAAGATGGAGCCTTGTCCTGAGGCACCCCTCGCGAGGGTACAGCGGGGAGAGGGGCTGCTGCGACTTGCCCCCCTCCCCTCTTTCCCGGGCAAGACTGAAGAGCGGGCGGGGCTGCGCGATAAAGCTAAAGAAAGGAGCGAGAGGAGAACAGTCTTCATCAGAGAGGCCCGGATTTCTCTTAAATACCAGATGTGGCCAGGCTGAGAGCGCACGGAAGTGTTTGTGGTATCGCAGGCGCCGATGTCTAGCTTAGCACAGTCCTTCACAAATACTGGAGTTAGTTGAATACGTGGGAATTAACGTTTTTTTTTTTAACGTCTACTCAAATAGATCTTGGTCAGTGTTAATCACCTAGCATACAAACCTTTAAAGGAACTGCCTGGTGGAGATGCACGTTTCCAAGGGCCAGGGAAAGAAAGCTTGAGGTTTGCCTTCCTTCTCGGAGCACAAGTGTCCCAAGACTAATTTCTGGGAATGAGAAATGAAAGTTCATGCTAAAAATACTACGTTTAAGGCTGGGAAACGAAAGGAGAAAAAGCATCCCAACAAAGATCCCAGCGTGAAGCAGTTTCTAAGAGCGGGAGTCGCACTGCAGGTGCACTCCCTGCCTAGATACAGTGAAAGCTGCTATGTTTGGCTAATAGGTGGCATCTCCTTTAATGCTTTTCTCTGTACTGAGAATAAATAAGCAGCAGCTATTTGCACGCTGGAAAACCTCACGATCCTGGCGGTTGATTCCACAGAAGCGGCACAGTGCTTCTCCTTTCTACGCAAGATCCCTGTAAGTGGACAGAGGTGCAGAGGAAGGTGGCACTCGAGGCAGCAACGGTTGGGCCTGTCATTGCCACCTTCCTCTGCAGGCATGGCTGCCAGCACGGCGTGTGCCGAGGAATTCGGCTGGTGGTTACTTTGGCTGGAGCTGAAGCCCCTCAGTGTGCCTTGGCCAGCAGACAGGCGTACGCAGTGCCCTTCCACTTGGGGAAGGCACGCTTGACACCTACAGCAGCAGCTGTAGATGCTATTCCAGAGACACGGGGACCATGTGACAGCATGTTTTGGGGTGGTTCACATCTTTGTGTTCCAAGTAATCGATGGTTTAGCCATTCTGCTATCCAGGGTGCTTGAAGCAGTAACGTGCAGGCACAGGGAGAAGAGAAATCGGTGCCACCATGCCTTGGCCAAATTCTGTGGGGCTGAACCTTCCATGGCTGTAAAGCACAAAGCATTGAGAAGGTCCCGTAAGATCCCACACCGTGCATCGTCCCTGCAAAGGAGGGCTCAGAGCCTTCTCACAGGAGAGGAGGGCTACCAAGAGGGAAGTGATCGTGCCCCTGTACTCGGCACTGGTGAGGCCGCACCTTGAATACTGTGTTCAGTTTTGGGCCCCTCACTACAAGAAGGACGTCGAGGTGCTGGAGCGTGTCCAGAGAAGGGCAACGAGGCTGGTGAGGGGTCTGGAGAACAAGTCTGCTGAGGAGCGGCTGAGGGAACTGAGGTTGTTTAGCCTGGAGAAAAGGAGGCTGAGGGGAGACCTCATCGCTCTCTACAACTCCCTGAAAGGAGGCTGTAGCGAGGTGGGGGTTGGTCTCTTCTCCCAAGTAACAAGCGATAGGACGAGAGGAAATGGCCTCAGGTTGCGCCAGGGGAGGTTTAGATTGGATGTGAGGAAAAATTTCTTTACTGAAAGAGTGGTTAAACATTGGAAGAGGCTGCCCAGGGAAGTGGTGGAGTCCCCATCCCTGGGGGTATTTAAAAGACGTGTAGATGAGGCACTTAGGGACATGGTTTAGTGGACATGGTGGTGTTGGGTTGACGGTTGGACTCGATGATCTTAGAGGTCTTTTCCAACCTTAATGATTCTATGATTCTAAGAGTGCCCAACAGAAGTAAAGGAAAAGAAAATGCAAGTGATGCTGTCAGGAAGAGGTAATAAATACGTCTATTCATGGAGAACAATGCAGCAGCAGTGCAATGTTTTATTGAAAAAAA